TTTCTTATGAAATTTAAACCCTTTCAATTCAATTCAATTAATTTTTTATATGAATGATTAATTTTATTTTATAATAAATTATAATGAAAAATGCAACGAAAGGAGGTAATATTAACAAAGACTGTTTTTGTTATTTTTTTTTACAAAATATTTCTTTATTCTAGCAATGAATTACGTTGGAGTCGTAGTGTTGAATTATTTATTTTTATATTTTTTTTTTTTTGGTATTTTTATCCAAAATAACTTGCAACCAATATCCGTGAATTTTAATAAATTTTCATTGACGCGATAAACTCTCGATAATAATATGTACGTATAGTTTAGTATCGTGTACGTCGATCAAAGGAATATTTTTTGATACGATAAATTGACAAGGCTAAAAATAACAGACGGAAATAATTTGGTGAAGTTGTCAACGTCAGTCGATAAGCGGCTCTTTACCAATGCATGAGGGTGAAATTGAAAATATGTAGATTTCCCTGCCACCTCTATAGACATATTCATACGAAATGCAAACTGCGACGAACACTTAACCCGTTATTGATCAAATTGTCTGGAAATTTTCGGGGAACAATGGTAAATGGTGCATTAGTTATTCAAAACTCTTTCGCACCCAACGTGTACCCTTTCCACCGTGATTCGATCAATCTCTTTTTCCCCTACTGCCTACATTGTGGCTGAATGATTAATTACTATCAAGCATCGAGCTTTCTTTAACCAGTAAAATTGATTATTATAGTAAGTAACGAGGTTTCTTTAATATTAAACGAGGAACCATAACAAGAGTAGCAATAATTGTTATTAATTTTATAAAATACTATAAAATCTGTGATAAAGAATATTTTAACTGTTTGATGAATTAACTTTCTAAATTTTAAAATTCCAAAAAATGTCAAAATTTTCTTTGTACAGTACAATTTAATATTCTAAAACTCAACAGTTCATAAATCTTTAAAGTATTTTATTTTTTCAAATATGAACCTCAATAGGGGAATAATAATTTACCTCGTGAATTTAAAAAAAAAATTGAACGATGAATCATTTGATAAACCGTGCTTAACGACTAATCTTGTATCAACGTTAATCTGTTTGAAGAATGCTCTCCAGGCAATTTCACGCGTATTTTTCACATCGCGTCAATCTGCTGTGTAAATTGAGGGTTGAGAAACGTCCTCGAGCAAGCCGAAGAACAATTTTTTTAGCTAGTAAATGCAAGGTATCAAAGGCGCAAAAAGCATCGTGATCCAATACAAAGTTATAGCAAACTAATGTAAAATTAATTATAAAATTGTGCAATTTTCTATCCCTTCTCTGTGATGATTTATACAAAGTGTTTCAAAAGATGTGACATTTTGAAACACGACACATTTCAATATTTTATATTGTGTATTCTTGTATTGTAACTGCTAATAATAATTAGAAAGCACAGTCATTTTTATTCAATGTTTTACCATAATTTTAAATTTAAATATTTATGTAATTATAAAATAACTAATAAAAGAAAATTATATATAAGAAATGTTTGAATGTACGTTACATGGAAAATCAAAAAGCAACATAATAAATGTGATTAACTTCTATGAATTGACTTGCCCTGTTATAAGCGTCTTTCTCATAGAATCATCTTTCCTTGAGATTCCGTATGATACGATCAAATTTATGACTGGCTTGCTGATTTATTCGTTCACAAATTGCACCAATAACGCGTTCAGTTACCGATGCGAAGACAAGATTGCTCGTTAGAACGCGCTTTCAATTATAGAACATTGACTAGCGTATTATTAGCCTGATACGAAATGAAGGGTATGGCTATCATTCAAAATGAAAATCAAAATTGCATATACATTATTTACCTACTTAACTTCGGGACTCGAATGCTAACTTGGGACTCGAAATTGGCGCGACAACTTTTCGGGGTTCCGTCCGACCTGGCCCGAACCGACCCGAATCAAGGCGAACCGATCCGAATCAAGGTGAACCGATCCGAATCAAGGCGTGCCGATCCGATTCGACCCGATCTGACCCGAATCGAAACGAGGCTAGGGTACCCAAATTTTCGAATAATTAATTTTTTCACGAAGTGTAATTAATTATTAACTCAATATTTTTCAAACTTTCATCTAACTTTGAATCGTTTCAAGATTGTTCTTAATTCACCATACACTCACAGTATTATTCTCTCAGAGATTTAATTAAATTTCCCTTTGTGTTGAACGGCTTCGAGACTTTTATTTATTTGACACAGATACCGTTACTTGTATTTTCTCGCAAACTTTCATGGAACACCGAGACGCAAGCAAAGTTTGGCAGAAAGCTTTAGAAAGTTTGCTAGAAGATTGGGGAGGGAGTTGTAAACAAGGGCAATACAGGTGTCCTCGTTTCTATAATGTTCGATTTCCGAATTATTATCGGCCGTGCGAAGTTTTGCATACACGTGATCTGTCTGATATATTTCCTGCAATTCTGTGATGTCAAAGACTCGATATCACCTCGTTTATTCTTTTTACGTTCCAAGTTTCATTTCACCCTCCTGTTTTCAGTGTACAAAGTAAAATATTTGATGAAAAGTTGCTTCTATATATTTGAATTCTCGAGTAAACTAATTGAAATTTTACGAGCAACCAAATTCTGTCTTATTTAAACCTTAACTACTATGCCATAGAAATACAATATTTATACGTTATAGAAATTTCCACGTTTAAGTTCTTTTCTTTAAATACGCGATCATTAAAGTGTTAAAAATTAAAGGAAATGAATTTCAAATTCCACTTTGGGTAAAAATGCAGATATTCTAAAAGTTTGCATTACAGAATCAATTGTAGAAATTGAAAATAAAGCAGAAAGTCAATTTTCAGTTCTCTTTAGTTCAACCTTCTCGCACTTTATTCAAACTTCAATATTTGGAGTTTTCAAAGTACAGAAAGTTTTAAGGGCTGAAAGCGATTTAAGCGATTTCTATAAACGATCAGATTCGACGAAAGAACAATTTAGGTCATCTTAATATTACCGTAACTTTGATAATAAATTATGTGGTAAATTGGAACATTTGAAATTAACTTTCTTAATTGAAGAATGAAAACACAAAAGCATTTTAAATTTTAAGATGGAATTGTGCATTCTACCTTAAATTTAGCCCTTTAAAATAGAACTTTAATTTAATGCAATTATATATTTTACAAATAATCTTATTTTTTATATTTGGTATTCTTTATCAGGTAAGTTTATCTTGTTTCACTAGAAATTTCTTTCGAAGTAAGGGTTTCAAAATTTCTTTTGTTTCCTTACATCTTGAAGAATACTTTAATTCGCATTTTCTTTCATTGCCACTGTTCCCCTTATTTACTTCACGTTCTCTCCATCCAATTCCACTTGTTTTAATACCATTCTAGGATAGTATATTTACCCTATCGTTGCTTTCTTCCATTCACATTTTAACATTCATTTCTGCGTATCTCAAATAATTTCTTATCCCTTCTTACGATCACTTCTATAATTTTCCTTCATTCTCCTTTGTCCCGGTTTTCTTTCTATTCACCGCATTATTTGACTTCTTCCTCGCGAAAGTTCTTTCATCTCCCGATTCTATGAAGAAGCCTTCCCTTTAACGTTATTCGATAACTTTGTTGGCTTTCCAATCTGTTTTCTGGCTATTCCTCTATTTCTACTTTTACTATTTTTTATTTTTTATATCTATTGCTTTGTTATTCTTACACCTGTTCCATTTTTTCGTGGTAGAAGAGATATGGAAATATTTTCAGTTTCCAACTAAATAGGTGATCGATTATTCAATTTGAAAATTTTTAAATAGGAAATTATATCTATATCTCTAAATTATTAAATTTCCAAATTACTAAATTTCTAAATGATCAAGTTTGTAAATTACCAAATTTCCAAATTTGAAAATTTGTAAAGTGAACAATTTTATATTTCCCACACCTCTATTTCACAATCAAAAGAATTTCTAATGACTTTTTGCTCTTCCATCTCGACGTTATTAACAAACGCGGTGAATTTAAAATAAATCAAAAACACTCTTGCGTTTTAACGTGGAACGTTTCTTATATCTACCTTCAATAACGAGTTGCAATTTAGAAACGTTTTTCCAACCACGAGCTTAATGAGCGCAAGTTAGTTGACTCGTATATCCCGTACGTTTCATCGCGTCACAAGTGTCCTAAGATTCTCTCCAGCTTTTTTTTCTTTCTTTCCTATTTTTTTTTTTTTTTTGTTCATTCGTCGCCTTAGTTCTATCATTTTCCAGCACTCGCGGGCTTTTTGCCGTCTAGCCTGCGTCACATTAAGTGGAGTAGGGTAGAAACACAATGGTCGAGTAAGGACGAGAAGAGCTCGAGCTTGACACACTTTTGTCGAGTGAATTTCGCGGATAAGACGTGCAGGTATCTTCTGGGAGTCCTTTGTCGCTGATAGACGGCGAAGTGCGCGTCGAATTCACGGCTCTTTGTCGCAGTTAAAATGAATGTGCGGATGGCTCAATGCCTTTTCTTCCTATCTTTTTACATCCTATCCGTCTTCAATTTTTCGCCGATAATCTGTTTCCAATAGCAGAGGAGATACTTCGCTGCTGAAAGCGTAATAACGTTTGCCTCTCGCGACTTTATTCGGAGGATTTTATATCATCGAATTCGGATTTTTATTGGCTACCAATTAAAAACTTATCCATCTTCTGCATAATATATAGGACACTTTGTTCAGAATACATAAAAGGTGGAAATAGTAAGCAATTTTAGGAATGTTCTTTTTAAAATTATCATAATTGTTCACTCTGAATATTATTGAAGAATTAAAATTTTCGATTCTAAAACGGAATATTTAAATCCTTTTTAAAATATTAGAAAATGGCATTCGAGACCGCTGTAATTCTCATAATTTAAAAGAAGATTAATTTTAATTACTGACGCATATAGACGGTCATTTTCGCTTAAACGATTAATTAAATAACACTCAAACAAACTAACTATTGAAGAAATAAATCAACTCACCAGGTGTTATATTGGGGAAAGGCTGTCCAGGCATCGATGGTGGATGTTCATCTTCCGGCGAGCGTTCCGAAGCGTAACCTTGATCCTGCGGTTCTCCGCCGGCCAATTTGCTCAGCTTCAGATCGATACTTTTGTTAAGCTGCTGTCGATGTCTGACCAGTTCGCAGTCAGGTTTGTGCACGATTTGCATCAACAAATCGTTGTCCGTCGCATCGGGGATGCACGGTTGGGAAGAGGAGGAATTAGTCTCCGAGGACTTTCCGCTGTTTCTGCTATCCAGCTTTCGCTTAGGCAACGTTCCCACCAGGTCAAGATCCGAATTACGGTGACACCTGTCTTCCACAGAGACCCCGCGACCGTATCTCCTCGTCGAATCGCCAGACACCGTGTCCACACTGCGATTTCTCCTTACCGAATCGAAATTCCCGTGACGACACCTCACTAGATCAAGGTCGCTCTGCTGATATCTATGTACATTCAGGGATTCAGATATTTTTAAAAATATTTTAATACTTTTTTCAATAATAAAAATAAGTTTCATGTGTTTAGTTTGCAATTGATAGGGGTGGGATTATTTATGGTGCAAGATATTATGTCATTTAAATTATTTCAAAATCGGTGAGGTGTAACCTAATCTCAATAATTACCTAGATGGTTTGAAGCTTTTGATAGCTACTGTAATATCAGTTTACTTTAATAAATAGATAATCTATGGAGATGACTGATGGCATACCTCCAAGGATCATTTTCGTCCAGAGAGTCCTGCGATCGATGTTTCACAAGGTCTAGAGTGCCAGTTGGTCCACCATCAGAAAAATGAACGCCCAACGATCGTTTTTTGTGTGGCAATGTTCCACCGAGATTTCCACCCATGGTATCAGTCATCGTGTTATTATTTTCTTTTGGATCATCGTCCAGCATATCTTTATCGTGATCTAGGTGATTAGGCAAGGAGCCGCAGAATTTGTATCTGGAAAAGAAATAATTTTTCTTCTGAGCAAATGTTAAAAAATTTTTGGATATAATTAATACTTTGAGGATTATGACATTTATAATTTTTGCATATTTAAATTAAAAATAGAACACATCCTTTTTGAATATTTTTAATTTTATAAAAATATAAATGCTGGCGAGGAAGCATTTTGCATATCGTTGTATCGTGGTATTAAACACCAGCACTTACGTAAATGAGATCAAGACACGAGCGCCTTTTAACCCCTCACCCTCCCTTTTTACGCCCTTCTTCCTTGTTCCCTCTCAGCTCGCATCCGTTTTCGCGCAAACGAGGATTTAATGGAAACCGCCCCAGTTCCGCGACTGACCGACCTTAAAGGGACTTTAAATTATCTCACGACCAGCCTGTTATGCGACCTTATGCACTCTCCTTGCTGGTTGTTTAAGCAACGCTGAGCTATATCTTGTAACAAGAAATTCACGACAGTACTAAATTTAATTCGCTTCACAAATATTTCTTGCTCTAATTCAGTCACGCAACCGGGTTTGCTATTTGGATTTATTTAAATAAACATAAAGTACATCAAAACCGTGGAGAATTTAAATCAAACCATTGGGGCACAATTTCATTTATTTTCAATTCTATTTTATATAAAATTCTTTGCAAAAATATTTATAAATTGGAGAATAATCAATGTTAGGATATATCATTTTACGAATATACAGTTAACATGAACTCATTAATTTTAATATTACTCATTAGCGTTTAATTAACTCCTCGAAATTAGTTTCGTAATTACAACGTTGTGAAATAAAAATATCACCCTTTTAATTGTGTCTAAATTGATCTCATCGTAAAAATCAATATTACAAATATTTATGTATACTATTAAACTATCATTTTGAACCCTTTCTTGGTTCCACCAAGGACACTATACCTATTTTTTCATCCTTTACATTAATTTCAAAATAAAATTTTCTTACCTTTCCTTCTGCGCACTGGAGCAAGGCACCAGGATCTTCCCCACGCTGTTCAATTTTCCCTTGGGATCGCATAGATTCCCAGAGGACTGCGTTCTCCGGCCATTCAGGCCCTTGCCGTTGTGTCGACTCAGATTCGAGCCCATGATCGTTTCTTCGTTTTCGAGTTTACCCTCGATCGTACCCTCGTCCCCGTTCACGGCATTACCGGGCGTGTTCTCCTTGTTCGGCCAGTCGAAGTACTTGTCGATGTCCTTGGCATTGACCTTGCAGGATATCGGTGGAGGCGGCGGTGGTGCCGGTCGTGTGCGTTTCCCCGTGGATACTGTTTGCAGCTGGCTACGACAACCTTTCCGACGATTGCCACTCGCCGATTCGCCGTTCAAAGAAAGCGTTTGCACTTTCCAACTCTCCTGACCTCCGCTCGCTGGAGGCACGGTTACGACTTCCTCGCCTGTAACAACCATGCAATCACCGTTTACACTATGCCTTTGTGAACGTTCGAGGTTCAACTTGTGACCGTTAGATGTTTTATAGGATGTTTCAGAGATCAGAATAAAGGTTCTTTAGGGAATGAATAAGGACCATAGGAGAGATGGGCAGAAAACTTTAAATAGAACTTTCAACGGAGAAATTTAATATTAGAAGGATCAGCTGGGTCTAAAGGACCCATTTGCAAATTTTCGAATGAATAATTTTGATACTGTTAATTATTATTATTGATAATTTTCTGATTTTGTTTCTTTTCATATTTTAGATAGGTTACCTCTGTTACAAAATTTTATTAATACCTATGTTTTTGTATTAAATGATCAAACTTAATATTCTAACATGAATAAAATAATTTGGTTAATAAAATTTAAAAATGGAGAATATTTTAAGGCTGTATTTCCGAATGGCCCCACCAAAATTGAGAACTCAGGTTCGGTATATAACTTAAATTGACTGCAAGAAACCGATTAAAGTTGGTTTTACGCATGCTTGTTACGTTTAAATGCCTTGGATGACTATGATTGTCTATAGTAATGAAGGGGTTACACGTGAGAAAATCCCAATTTTCAACTATTTTTTAATTTATCTAAAAAACTAAAGATTTTATAAATCACCATAAAACAGAATAACACTGAAACAATCGGATTCCTTGTTCCATTCGAATGTTTAAAGCTGTGTGCCTAGTGGTATGTCGTATTCAGAGCACATAACTTCAACGTTACGTTTATCGGGTCCGATTCACAGTCATCGTACTGTATTGCAGCGGGATACTAATATGAGAACCTCGTTGCATAACTGTATTATTAATGAGAGACACGCATACACTCGAGGAGAAGCGAATTGAAAGAGGCTCGTGTTGCCGTCTGTAGCCATTCAATTCTACTTCCTCCTCGAAACAATTTTGTTTCGGAATATAAATAGTGGTGTTGTAAACTGAGCATTCCATTGTGTCTGTGGTCATTCAATTTTAAATTGGAGAGACTACTTCAAAAAAATTATCGTTATTTAGAAAAAGATAATAGAAAAGATTCGAATTAATTAAAATTGAATTATGTATTTAATTGTAGCAAATCAAGTGATGGTTCTCAAGAAATAGAAAATTCATAACATAAAAGTGTTGTGAAAAAGCACTTATGGTATATCAATTTAAAGCTTAAAGTTTGAAGAAAATTATTATATATGTATTGCTTTTTTTTAAACAAGTAAATGAATGGAAGAATACACGAAAGAAAAGATATGTCATCAACAGGATGTTCTAAAACATAAGTTATTCAATTCAGCAACTATAAATTTTTAAATATTTACGAAATATTTATGTAGCCATTTTCTTCACACTTTAAGTTTTACATTGATATGCCATAAGTGCTATTTGGTGATACTTTTATGTCATGAAATCATGTCTGATTTTTTATATGTTTCAAAATTTGCTGATGCATACAATGATTAAGTACCGAGAAAGCAAAATATATAGATGCAAGTTTTAATGCAGAAATAATGCTTGCGTTTTCGGAGTAACAACGGTAACGCTGAGATGCAGCTGGATCACGTTTATGAAAATAGAGCAGAGTCAGCTCATTAGAAAGTACATGGTGTAATTAAGTTGGTAAATTAGAAACTGAATTCTGCACCTTTCTCATTCCACCAACTTAATCTTGCATCGTAGAGAAAAGAATTCACGCCATTTGCACGGTAGAGTTTCGTTCTGTATCAGAAATTAGGTGAACCCAATTCTTTCTTATTAGAGCTTAATTAATCATTAACTGTACAGTTACTGATTATTCAGTCAATGAACTTCGTATGTACTGCATAATCTTTATACTATTCTCTATTGTTTCCAAAATATTATTTATATCTAATTAAAATATACAAATTTATACAAATTAAATTAAATTTATATATAAAGGAAAAAACCTAATTTTTAATTTTTAATTTGATTTTTTTAATAATCCTGTATTATTTTATTACAAAATACCACATCTTTACCAATTTGATTACTAATTACAATATTAATGTAGTCCTAATTGCAGTATCTCTCTCACAAGATTGATTGCATTAGAAATACACTAAAAGTGCATTATTACGCAGTCCTTGCCGTGATTACAGATTAGATAATTTTTCTTTTTTAAATTATGATGGAATAATAATAACAGAGTGTTGACAGAAGCATTTTATGCAAGTGTTCATGGCTCGTGCACGTGAGAAGAAAAATAAGTTGAACGGTGCCTTTGAAACCACCGTTGCATCGATAATTGCACCTTACCAGTGCATGACCAGATTTACGCGAAACAGGTAACACGCATTTCTACTGTTTTCAACTAAAAACTAAGCATGACGGTTCATTCTAAGAAAAAAATCTTGATGCTGTAACGTTTCTCACTTGGATACTCAATTTTAACGAGGTAAACAGCTGTCTTGGCATAACTGTTTGTTTGCTGAATTAAAATGTTCTACTTTTTCCCTATCACCTTTACTTGAAAGATTGTTTTAAAAATGACGTATAGCGCGAACAAAGGATCTACAGTAATTTATAAAAGTAATAATACCAAGAAATTCTTACTTCTGAACTAAATAAAAGAAATTTTCATAACTTTAATCTTTTCTATTTAAATTTTAATTGAAATAAAAATTTTGTTCTATTCCATTTGTTATCTTACAAAATTAATTAAATATTGATAATTATTTTTATTATATTTCTAATAATTTTTCAATCTATGTATGGTAGAATTTAGATAATTTGGAAACAAATTATAGTATTGTATGAAACATTAAGTATTACCGTTATTGTTTAATATATTAATTTTTTCAGCTTGCATCCTGTGTTTTCAGCAATAAAAAATGAAGATATGAATAAACAGTCTTTCTATTGCTTAGGTACAACAATTATGCTGGAATTGAGCTTCTGACATGTATCACGCATGTATCCGACGTATCAGTGAAGCATCTAGACAATCGTTTGCAGATGATAGAGCAGTATATTCGCAATCCATTTGTTCTCGATTAGGGTAAGGGCGTAGGGACAGATATTCGTGTCAGATTCAATCGATAAGCAGCGGGATTCAGGCCCGTTAACAGTCAGTTAATTTTACGACATCTAAATTTATTCGTCCTGGCCACGATCTTTGATAAGCGCGTCTGCTTTCGTAAAGAGGATGGTGAGTAAAGGAAGAGACGATAAAGAACGACTCACTTCCTGCGCTTCAACGCAATAGAAAGCGTATTTCTCTCCGGTATATCGTTATCTAAATATCTCTGAAGCTATCAAACGCAACGTTGAATTCTTATTCAGCATCTCAATTCTGGTTCGGATCTGTTAATTTTAGACGAGATATTGGGGTAAAGAATGAATCAACTGATCGTCGATTTTTTGTGATCGGACGCGTCGCGGACCCCCTACGACCCCCTGCCAGTAGTGATATTATTTATTTCCTACAATAATGTACCAATATTTTTCGACAGATTCACATAAATATTGAAGATAAAATTTGATGATGAAAGAAATTAGAAAAAAGTATGAAGCATAACTGATGGTCAGTTTTTTCTTGAAACTGACGTGTGAATTAGTGTTGGAACGTTGAAAATGTTCAAGTTGGAAACGATAAGAAGAATCTGGGTCGACGTGGAAGATTATTGGCGTCCTGAAAGAAGTTCACCGAAGGATGGATAGTTGATCTGAAATTTATTACTTCGAACAAGGGCTTCCATCCACTCTGCTTACTGTCGAATCAACAAAATCAAAAGATTGTTGATTGTTCGCTCGTAAAATTGTTTGATCGAACGATTCATCTTTAAAATCTCTCGACCCTTTGTGTTTTTGATATTACCATAAGAAGAGACAGATAAAACAGAATAAAATTGCTTCGAAAAAAACTTATTAAAGCAGAACTTGTTTTCCTCTCTTTAATGACAATTTAACGTTATATTAACTGCTTGCTATTTTTTTATTTAACAATTCAAGGTTTTCAAGCAAGAAGGCTAAATGAATGAAAATGTAAATCAATCGATTTTTAAAAAAAGATTTTCATACGCTAGAAAACAATATATTACCAAATTTAAAATAAGAAAATAATATACGGTATAAAATTAAATTTAAATTATCATTGTCTCAGTGGTCCATCGTCAAAGTGATACAATTAATTATTAGACAACGTTATGAAACAATGCTCTCGCCCAATATGTAGAAAAGCGTAATTTAATTTCAATAAAAGAGAAAAGAAAAAACCGATTCTTTTCACGGGGAAAGAGTTCGCTGGTGGACACCGATCGGGAGGAAAATTCAGGTGATAAATGGAGATGGTCGCACGGGAAGGTAAACCAATTCGCATTATGCGGAGCACGTGCTTCCCAATCAACCGGACCACGGCGCATCCACTCGTGCTGAAACTGTTCCAGGAAAATCCATTTACATGCCAATTAAGTTGTGCTCGCCGTGGATTTATTGTAGAAAGGTCAAAGGCTTTCGCCGTGATATCGCCTTGGATAATTAAACGACGTTCAATGAAATATTCCGGCCTGCCGTCTTGTTTACCTGTATTATGCAAATGTTTGAAACCAAGCTCAAATTCAATAATATTAACACGACGCGTTGTCTTTCCATCGTGATTTTCACATTGATGATAATGAACAGGTCTAACGTTTCATTTTTTAATTATAAGTAATTAATTGTTACACCTATAATATTCTAATAGAGTAGATATTTATTTTTCATTGTTTAATTAATGAATTCTAATTTTGTCTGAATAACGCAGTTTATTAATTTATGATTTTCTCTGGTTAATAATTGTGTTTGTTAGAGCTGTCTGTTCGCTACTGCAATTCCAAGTCAAATAAAGCAACTTTGAACACTATGGACACATACGATGCTTCACTCGGAAAATTGTCACCAGAACTAAACTTAAAATTGAATTGTTCCACACATACGATTCGGGTTTGTAATATTTGAATTACAACTTGCGTCACGAGAGT